TGGTTGGAGGGTGCACAGATACATGCTATGACAGCATCCATAATGATTGTAAAGTTGTGATCCCAATTGGTAGGAGGCTGCACAGAAACATGCTATGACAGCATCCATAATGATTGTAAAGTTGTGATCCCAATTGGTAGGAGGCTGCACAGAAACATGCTATGACAGCACCCATAATGATTGTAAAGTTGTGATCCCAATTGGTAGGAGGCTGCACAGAAACATGCTATGACAGCATCCATAATGATTGTAAAGTTGTGATCCCAATTGGTTGGAGGGTGCACAGATACATGCTATGACAGCATCCATAATGATTGTAAAGTTGTGATCCCAATTGGTAGGAGGCTGCCCACGAAACATGCTATGACAGCACCCATAATGATTGTAAAGTTGTGATCCCAATTGGTAGGAGGCTGCCCACGATACATGCTATGACAGCACCCATAATGATTGTAAAGTTGTGATCCCAATTGGTTGGAGGGTGCACAGATACATGCTATGACAGCATCCATAATGATTGTAAAGTTGTGATCCCAATTGGTAGGAGGCTGCCCACGAAACATGCTATGACAGCATCCGTAATGATTGTAAAGTTGTGATCCCAATTGGTTGGAGGGTGCACACGATACTTTGGTCCACATTGGAAAACTGACGAAGGTTGTTATTGTCAACAATGAGACGTCGTCTTTGATTATATGATTAACGGTTGGGTAGCAGTATGGTGAGTCTCGACAGCCCTAAGTAGTGGAATTGACAACACGTTCCTGCAATTGAACACATTGGATCAAATTGTGTTCGTATTGGAAAATGTGGGAGGTACAGAAATCACAGTTGTTTGACTGATAATGAATTATTGTTCGAGAAGGTGACGGGTTCTTTGTTTTGCTGTTCTGACATGTCTTCATGTCATAGTGTTCATGGAAACTATTCATTATCTTGCCATATCTCAACAGTGACACAGTGAGTGAGTGAGTGAGTATAGTTTTACGCCGCTTTTAGCTTTTCACCACGCCGGACTGAATCGGTATCATATGTCAGTCTTCCTCATGTAAAGCTACAAACAGTGTTAACACGGAATTAATGTCTGTGGTATTGTTATGAAATTGCAAAACGTGTATTTTAGTTGTAAACATACATTAAATTTGTTTATATTACATATTTGGACAAACATTGTTTTGCCATAAAATTGACAAGCCAGCTATTCTAAAATCCTTTTCATTACATATATGATACCCCGAATGTCTCTCTGTACCAGACCCGTGAAGATCCGGGGTAGAATAGGTCTACAGCAACCCACGCTTGCCGTAAAAGGTGACTATGCTTGTCGTAAGAGGCGTCTAACGGGATCGGGTGGTCAGGCTCGCTGACTTGGTTGATGCATATCATCGTATCCCAATTGCGTGGGTCGATGCTCATGATATTTATTACTGGATTGCCTGGTCCAGACTCGATTATTTACAGACCGCCGTCATATTGCTGAATGCGGCGTTTCACAACCAACATACCAACCAAAGCAACCCTTTGCCATGATCATGAGTGTGGATACATTTCCATGCACTGCACAAGTAGACCCATGTAACCAAATAATTTGGAGTCCTTTAAAACGTGTATATTACCGTTAATGTCAACACTATTCAAAACGTCAGGAAATCGACCTTTTCGTGCATAAATGTCAACAGAGTGGTTTCAGCTGCTAAAAAATAACACGTCTTCCACTGATTCTTATGCTTTAAGTATAGTCTGGTACAGTACTGAAGTTATTGCTTTCTTATGTATATACCTAAACATATATAATCAAAACGATTATGTATGCATTGACAAGTGGAGAGACATTTACATTATCTCTCTGAAACTTCACGATTAACATATTTAAGAGTGAAGGGGTAGTGTACTGCGTAAGCTTAAACATGTCTGGGATGAGATTGAACGACGCCTACGACAGGATTAGAACCAGCCGGTAACGCTAACTCAGTTTGGCCAATCTTTGGCTGACATTTGGAAAAAAACATCTCCCAGGCTGTTTTCAATCCACTGGTGTCTTCAATTTGAGAATGAGGGTGTTGGGCCAGTTTAGCAATAATACAGAAGTATCACAGGGGTTTTTACCAAGAAGGGCTTCAGACATTGTACCCATGTGGGAATCATACCATATTTAGGCCTGATAAGCGAATGCTTTAGTACAATAGCTTCCCAGCCCAGGCGTCCCTATATCAATAACCAGACGATCGAAAGTGACGTGCTGTTGAAATTTATTAAATGTATAGTTTTAATCTTTAAAAAACACATTGATCAATGCAATCAATTAATGTACACCAAGCAATCTTCTTTCTGAAGCAATGGCATTAGAAAACACTTTGTTTCCTCTTAAACTCCATACTGAGGCATTTAACATAAATGATCATGTTAGAAAAACACCATGAAATGGATGTGTATCTAACATGTTTGGAAACATTAAATGTTGATAATAGCTCAACAAAATGCTATTATTTCACATCTCGAATTCGTCAACGATAAAGTCAACCAATCCTCCCTCCTCTTTTGTTAATGCTCAACTTTAAAACCTTACTTCTTCAAAATTACGGAACATAATTTACGATTCCTCTAACAAGAGAGTATCCTATGAGTATGACTTCATATTGATAAAGAGATGCTTTTCAGCGTGCCATTTATGTGGTTTTCACCACTGTTTTGCTTTTTTTGTCCAGTGGAATCAGTTTCGGTGGATGATCGAAGCTAGTTGTTCTCTGGCTGTGACCTGTCATTTTTAAGCTCACTTTGACAAAGATACACGAACTTATGGTATAATAGTGAGTGAGTGAGTGAGTTGGGTTTAACGCCGCTTTTAACAGTATTCCAGTTATATCACGCCGTGTCAGTTTAATGTGGGAAGAAAGCCTGAAGTGATGCAGGTGTCAGACGTTTACCATTGAGATGAAACCCACGAGCACGGGTATGTTGCTGACAAACCTAGAAACATAATCGGGTCGAACCGAAGTTGTAAACGTCTGAGACCTGCATCACTTCGGGCTTTCCTCCCACATTAAGCTGACACGCCGCGATATAACTGGAATACTGTTAAAAGCGGCGTTACACCCAACTCACTAACTCACTCTTCTGCAGATGATAAGGGCCTGAAAAAGCGTTATCAAGAGGACCATGTATATCATTTGCTCCTCGCATGATAACACCCCTAAAACAACCAATTAAAAGCAGACAACAGGGAATGGTAGCTATCATTCCCTCGATGAACACGTAGGTCAGTTTGACATTTGGCCTGGAAACAATGATATTCAATGTACGTCACTATAAGCCCGTCTTTCGACCTTGGCCTCCACTTCATTCAGCATTGTGGGGAGACAACTGAGATCTGGATAAGTGCAAGACATAAGTTTTCAAAAGGCACCACGTATAGTATCATAAAAATGAAAGTGTACGTTTTGAATATGACTTTAACGCACTGCAGAAATCGTGTGAGAAGTGTTACTTAGGTTTAGAACTGGTTGCCATATTCTACCTCCTGAAATAGCTTTAATATAAAAAAATGTCCACTTTGTAAACATCTGACATAGGTAATGAATTCCATTATTCCTTAATGCGTCCATCTTTAGAAAACGAAAGAAAACAATTTTTTAGAAAAAAATGTTTTGTGTCTATTCAATATTTTTACATACATGTATATGTTGTTGAATGATTTTATACATCTCATGCCGCTGATAATGAGTATAAATAAACCTTTAAACTTCAATGAAAGGGAATTCCATTGTCGCAAAGGGCAAAAGCACTGTGGAAATTATATGAAAGGACGGAGGAGGGACGGGGATGCGGCTGCGGATGCGGATGCGGGTTTCGATAGTTTGAAAAAACATTAATCATTACCAGAAAGTACTGGTTCAAACTTTTGCAAAATATATTTTCCAAAGAAATATTGTTGCGGGACATAATGGACATTGTCATGAACATTGATGTGTCGACATGAGGCTAGTCTCGAAGTAAAAGTTTGGTTCCTGCGTATGCCTTCTCTATTCCTCATCTTCGGTTATGTCGAACCTCGGATAACTCGAAATATTTACGTAGGTCCCTTTAACTTCGACACAGTGGTGTTTGACTGTAGATGCGTAGATAGTTTGAAACAGTAGCTGAAAACACAAAAACAAAACACATGTATGGTGACTGCTCCTTTTCCCAAAATGCTGTCTTAAAAAATTGCGATAGACAGATAAAGGAAACCCTGTTTGTAGCAGTCGGGTGGTGTCAGGTTTTATTATGAAACAAATGTTTGCAATCATTACTCTATGTAACATATGGGTGTGAGTGAATTTGGTTTCAGCAATATTCCAGCAATATTCCAGCAACATCACGACGGGACACACCGGAAATGGGCTTCACATTTTGTGGGGAATCGAATGCTTTAACTCAAGGCTACCCCACCGCCCAAGTAGCATTTGGACATTAAATCAATACACACCAGAATATATACTTTTTTTGTGGTATGTCATCCGATTAAAAAAACCGATTTGAAATGACAGGTTTTGTGACAGCATCTCAAAAACTACCTCAGAACATTATCGAGCAGATTGTGTACTATAGATCTACGAGAGTAGTCATTTGCACTCCTTTTTGTTGACGGTGTTGTGAAGTATTTCACGACCTCTCCTATCTTCGTCCTACATGTTTTGTGTTGAGACAAACTCAGTATCACTTAAACGTCAATAATAGTTGAAAGAGTGCGAAATGTAGAACTTTCAAGGTGGGGCATTTCAGTTAACATTTTGCTTTTGTGAAGAGTTGTAAACTGTGTTCGCCTACACTAAACACATATCCCCCCTTTTAATTAGTGGTATATGCACATTGAACCGTATGTCTGTGTCTTGTGTACACTGCGAAAGGATACACGGGACATACGTCGATAGTATGAAATATGTGCGGAGGTATATGGTTTAGTTCTATTTAAGACCGATCGCCTAAGTCGCATTGTTTGAACGCTTGTATATGTATTGCAGACGCCATGATGAAAGAGGAATTCGGTTGCGACATCACGTGCTCCCCAGTTCAATCTCGCGCCACGCCAGTTCTTCCCCCGTGTAGAGTCTGTGATGAGAACGCTTCTGGGTTCCACTATGGCGTCAACACATGCGAGGCATGCAAGGTAATGATGTTTGTTTGTTTGTTTGTTTGTTGTTTAACGCCACACTCAGCTTTATTCCAGCTATATGACGGCGGTCTGTAAATAATGGAGTCTTGACCAGACAATCTAGTGTTTGACATCACGAGTATAGATCCACGCAATTGGGATAGGATGACATGCATCAACCAATTCAGAGAGCCTGACCACCCGATCCCGTTAGTCGCCTCTTACGACAAGCATGGGTTGCTGAAGACCTGAACGGGATCGGGTGGTCAGGCTCGCTGACTTGGTTGATGCAAGTTATCGTATCTCCATTGCGTAGATCGATGCTCATGATGTCAATCACTGGATTGTCTGGTCCAGACTCGATTATTTACAGACTGCCGTCGTATAGGTGTAATGTTGCTGAGTGCGGGGTGAATCCCAAATGCCACAGTGGTGAGTCCCGAATACCTCTAAATAGACCCCGAATCCCGAGTACCAAAAGGGGGTAGGCAGCCGGACAATGAGCACAAATAGCATGTTTTTTCGCCGCACTTAGCAATATTCCAGCAATATCACGGCGGGGGACACCAACAAATGGGCTTCCCAAATTGTACCCATGTCGGGAATCGAACCTTCTGCGTGACGAGCAAACGCTTTAACCACAATACTACCCCATTGCCCCTTGTCAGTTAGTAAATACCTGATCAAGCACAAATGACACAGGATTTACTTAAAACGTGAGTTGTGATGTTATTTAAAGCAAGCCAAATGTATTATGTCTTATTCCTGTCTCGTCAGCTTATAAACAATGCTGATTTGTATTACCTATTTAACACTGAACTGTCAGGGAACATAGGATTATTACCTCACAATGTAACATTTACGAATAATATTTTGTTTTCTTGTTGATTAACGCAGTACTCAGCGATATTCAAGCTATATGACAGCGGTCTGTAAACAATCGAGTCTGGACCAGACAATCTCATGATTGACATCTTTTGCATTTTGGGATACGATAACATGCATCCACCAAGTTAGCGATAAATTGGGATACGATAACATGCATCCACCAAGTTAGCGATCAATTGGGATACAATTACATTCATTCATCAAGTTAGCGATCAATTGGGATACAATAGCATGCATCCACCAAATTAGCGATCAACTGGGATATGATAACATGCATCCACCAAGTTAGTGATCAATTGAGATACAATAACATGCATCCACCATGTTGGCGATCAATTTGGATACGATAACATGCATCCACGAAGTTAGCGATCAATTGGCATACGACGGCATGCATCCACGAAGTTAGCAATCAATTGGGGTACAATAACATGCTTCCACCAAGTTAGCGATCAATTGGGATATAATAACATGCATCCACCAAGTAAGCGATCATTTGGGATATGACGGCATGCATCCACCAAGTTAGAAATCAATTGGGATACAATAACATGCATCCACCAAGTTAGCGATCAATTGGGATATGATTACATGCATTCACCAAGTTAGCGATCAATTGGGATATGATTACATGCATCCACCAAGTTAGCGATCAATTGGGATACAATAACATGCATCCACCAAGTTCGCGATCAGCTGGGATACGATAACATGCATCCACCAAGTTAGCGATCAATTGGGATATGATAACATGCATCCCGCAAGTTAGCGATCAATTGGGATACAATAACATGCATCCACCAAGTTAGCGATCAATTGGGATATGATAACATGCATCCACCAAGTTAGCGATCAATTGGGATATGATAACATGCATCCATCAAGTTAGCGATCAATTGGGATATGATAACATGCATCCACCAAGTTAGCGATCAATCGGGATATGATAACATGCATCCACCAAGTTAGCGATCAATTGGGATATGATAACATGCATCCACCAAGTTAGCGATCAATTGGGATATGATAACATGCATCCACCAAGTCAGCGATCAATTGGGATATGATAACATGCATCCACCAAGTTAGCGATCAATTGGGATATGATAACATGCATCCACCAAGTTAGCGATCAATTGGGATATGATAACATGCATCCACCAAGTTAACTATCAATTGGGATATGATAACATGCATCCACCAAGTCAACGATCAATTGGAATATGATAACATGCATCCACCAAGTTAACGATCAATTGGGATATGATAACATGCATCCACCAAGTTAGCGATCAATTGAGATACGATAACATGCATCCACCAATTTAGTGATCAATTGGGATACAATAACATGCATCCACCAAGTTAGCGATCAATCGGGATACAATAACATGCATCCATCAAGTTAGCGATCAATTGGGATAGGATAACATGCATCCACCAAGTTAGTGATCAATTGGGATACAATAACATGCATCTATCAAGTTAGCGATCAACTGGGATACAATAACATGCATCCACCAAGTTAGCGATCAGCTGGGATACGATAACATGCATCCACTAAGTTAGCGATCAATTGGGATATGATTACATGCATTCACCAAGTTAGAAATCAATTGGGATACAATAACATGCATCCACCAAATTAGCGATCAATTGGGATATGATAACATGCATCCACCACGTCAGCGATCAACTGGCATACGATAACATGCATCCCGTGAGTCGCGTCTTACGACAAGCATAGTCGCCTCTTACGACAAGCATAGTCACCTCTTACGACAAGCATAGTCGCCTCTTACGACAAGCATAGTCGCCTCTTACGACAAGCATAGTCGCCTCTTACGACAAGCATAGTCACCTCTTACGACAAGCATAGTCACCTCTTACGACAAGCATAGTCGCCTCTTACGACAAGCATAGTCACCTCTTACGACAAGCATAGTCACCTCTTACGACAAACAATTCTAACCCACATCTTTACGGGTTTGTTGAAGAATAAGATCATAATAATATATTCCTTATTAAATGGACACCTTAAACATAAAAACAAGTCAGTTCCATGAATAATTCTTACTTCAAATAAATTTTGTCATGAAGCAACATCTGTCATACAATTTTGAAATCAAGAAATATCATATCAATACTCAAATAGATGTTGTTTCGGTTCAAAATACAACTGACATTGATATTGATATTAAAATATATTGTTTTGACCCCTGCTCGGCTATTACGTCATACAAAATGTATTATATGCTGTTATACCTGTATTAAGAATCTTGCAAATTCATTGGTTAATTCCTACCACGTGAAGAAACAATACATTTCAAAGGAGACCCCGAAATCGTTTGACTGGCACTGACCTCGAATATTGACTTGTCACATGATCAGTATTGACCTCTCGTGACGAATGTTGACATGAAAACATGATGGCGTCTGGTACGAACATTTCATGGATCGCAGCTAAGTCACTGTTATATAACAGAAGACGGTTTAAAGACTTCTTAAACTTTAAAGTGAATTTCGGTATAACAAAGCGAATGATTACTCTTGACGAGGTCAATATGCGAAAACAAGTACTCTCGGACCCGAAACCTTTCTCGGTCAGACAACCTCAGGGGCTGAGTCTCTTGTTCTTGTTTTCGCCTACTGACCTCGTCAAGAGTATGTTTTTGTATAATAATATTCAGAAAGTATGCGGTATGCAGAATTGCGTGTGTTTTTTGGCCTCACTTTGCCCTTTCACATTCATAATCTCATAAATCCAGCAACTTCCTCGGCTTGTTCTCAGAAACCTAAGAGTTATTGTTGACGTTTTGTCACAGTGAAATTTCATATGCATCAAGTAAGTATGTACGTGAATGTCCAAGGATATATATCCAAGGATATATGGCCATTGTCTGAGTGTTTTACATTTTAAACTGCCAATGACTTTTGACCTTCACATATGTCCCTTTGTTGCACTTTGAAAAAACAACAACAAATGGGTAATTAATATTTAACGACCATATTTTACAATAAAAACAAGTAATCATGGCATTACAAAAACATTTTATCGACACATCAAAGTTACATTCAATAGAATGTATAGATATCAGAATAGATCTTCGGCAACCTCTGCTTGTCGTAAGAGGCGACGAACGGGATCGGGTGGTCAGGTTCACTGACTTGATTGATGCATGTCATCGTATCCCAACTGCATGGATCGATGCTCATGATGTCAATCACTAGATTGTCTGGTCCAGACTCGATAGTTTACATTCCGCCGTAATATAGCTGGAATATTGATGAGTGCGGCGTTAAACAACAAACAAACTGCTTATAACATGGGCTGACACCACCTCCATCCAGAGCTAAACCCCCTCAGTGGAGAACATGCATACAGTGACTCTCGCCCCTCAGCTTCCTGCACGATCCCCAGCAGGATTCACATCATCACTTCTGCTGCAGGTGCTTGCCAATATTTAAAAAAAAACATGCTCAGAGACCCTTGCGGATCCAGGGTAGAATGTATCCCCAGCACTCCTTCACTGGTCGACCCGTGCAGATCCTGGATATTATATTCTATACTTTGCATAATGCAACAGACCCGTGCAGATCCTGGATATTATATTCTATACTTTGCATAATGCAACAGACCCGTGCAGATCCTGGATATTATATTCTATACTTTGCATAATGCAACAGACCCGTGCAGATCCTGGATATTATATTCTATACTTTGCATAATGCAACAGACCCGTGAAGATCCGGGGTAGAATAGGTCTTCAGCAACCCATGCTTGCCGTAAAAGGCGACTATGCTTGTCGTTAGAGGCGACTAACGGGATCGGGTGGTCAGGCTCGCTGACTTGGTTGATGCATGTCATCGATCCCAATTGCGTGGATCGATGCTCAAGATATCAATCACTTGATTGTCTGGTCCAGGCTCGATTATTTACAGATCGCCGTCATAAAGCTGGAATATTGATGAGTGCAGCGTAAAATAACAAACCAAACCAACCCTTACTGGTCGTAAGAAGCGATCGATCAGGCAGCCTATGGTTGCCCCTGGGAGGACAGGGGGCGGTCGGGTATCCTAGTGGTTAAAGCGTCCGCTCGTCACGCCGAAGACCCGATATGGGTACAAAGTGTGAAGCCCATTTCTGGTTCCCCCGTCGTGATATTGCTGGAATATTGCTAAAAGCGGCGTAAAACCATTCTCACTCACTCACTCCTGGGATGACGGGGTTGTTGAGGGCACTCGTTCCTTTCGCCAATACATTACTTGACCAGTGCTTCACCTGGACGATGGTAGGATAATTCCGTCTGACCATGCCGAGCCCTGAGCGTCATTTTGGTCGGCACAATTGGTTTGAAAATTATAATTCCTATTAATATGTGTGTTTGAAATATTTGCCTCGAGTATCAAAGCCGAGAAGGGGTTGGGTCAATCTGCCAATCTGGTGGTGTATCATTTTGACATCCTTGCATGGCCTGCTTGAGGTTAAATGCATTTAGCATTGGCTTTGTTTACGCTCTATGCATATGACTTGGTTGACTGTCTATTATTATACTCCGTATGGATCGATGCTCGTAAAATCAATCACTGTTTTGTCTGGTCCAGCCTAAATTGTTTACAGACAGCCTTTATATAGCTGGACTATTGCTGATTGCGGCGTTAAACAATAAGCAAACACACATTGATGATATACAGTCAAGTCTCGTTAATCCGACATCGTTGGTTGCACATGATTGTGTCGGATTAACGGAGTACGCTGATCACTGTGTCGGATTAACGAGACTGATTAATGAGTGATTTCGGCAATTCGTTGCAAATTAGGTGTGTCGGAGTCGGAGTGCGAGACTGTCGGATTAACGGGACTAAATAGCACTGAATCAATCGGTTCCCATCATTTGTGTCGGATAAAGCCGAGTGTCGGATAAACGAGTGTCGGATTAACGAGACTTGACTGTATGCTATTAATGAATTAATAATCATTTTGTGCCTATCAATAATATTATTTTTCAGGGATTCTTTCGACGGAGCATGCTACGACGAGAGAAATACAAATGTCTTGGAAATGGCAACTGCGACATATCACTGGCAAGAAGAAATGGCTGTCCATACTGCAGATATAAGAAATGTCTGGCAGTCGGCATGTCAAAACACGGTAACTGTTCATGTTTCATTTCCCATGTATTATGATGATGATAATGATGATGATGATGATGATTATGATGATCGTAATGGCGATAATGGCCATGGAAGTAGTAGTGATGGGGTTTGACATAGATATGTAGCTGTCGATATATCAGCAGTAGGTGTGTCTGTACATACAGGAATAAAAGTAGGTGTGTCTGTAGATATGCAGCTACATATGCATAGTGGCTGTAGGTGTAGCCTTAGATATGTAGCTGTAGATATCGTTGTAGTTACATGTTTGTATGTAGATGTATAGTAATACCAATAGGTGTGTCTGTAGATATGACGCTGTCGATATCGCAGTAGGTGTGTCTAAATAGGTAGCTGTAGATACAGTGGTAGTAGATGTGTATGTAAAATGTAGCTTTAGGTGTAGTGATGATGGATGTGTGTATACATATAGTAGTAGTAGTAGAAGAAGTAGTAGTAGTAGCGGTAGTAGTAGTAGAAGTAGTAGTAGTAGTAGTAGTAGTAGTAGTAGCAGTAGTAGTAGTAGTAGTAATAGTAGTAGTATGGTTGTAGTAGGTGTGTGTGTAGATATGTAGCTTTAGGTATGATTGTAGTAGGTGTGTGTCTGTGTAGATATGTAGCTTTAGGTATGGTGGTAGTAGGAGTATGTGTGTAGATATGTAGCTTTAGGTATGGTTGTAGTAGGAGTGTGTGTGTAGATATGTAGCTTTAGGTATGGTTGTAGTAGGTGTATGTGTGTAGATATGTAGCTTTAGGTATGGTGGTAGTAGGTGTGTCTGTGTAGATATGTAGCTTTAGGTATGGTTGTAGTAGGTGTGTGTGTGTAGATATGTAGCTTTAGGTATGGTTGTAGTAGGTGTGTGTGTGTAGATATGTAGCTTTAGGTATGGTTGTAGTAGGTGTATGTGTGTAGATATGTAGCTTTAGGTATGGTTGTAGTAGGTGTGTGTGTGTAGATATGTAGCTTTAGGTATGGTTGTAGTAGGTGTATGTGTGTAGATATGTAGCTTTAGGTATGGTGGTAGTAGGTGTATGTGTGTAGATATGTAGCTTTAGGTATAGTGGTAGTAGGTGTGTGTGTAGATATGTAGCTTTAGGTATGGTGGTAGAAGGTGTGAGTGTGTAGATATGTAGCTTTAGGTATGGTTGTAGTGTGTGTCTGTGTAAATATGTAGCTTTAGGTATGGTGGTAGTAGGTGTATGTGTGTAGATATGTAGCTTTAGGTATGGTGGTAGTAGGTGTGAGTGTGTAGATATGTAGCTTTAGGTATGGTGGTAGTAGGTGTGAGTGTGTAGATATGTAGCTTTAGGTATGGTGGTAGTAGGTGTGTGTGTAGATATGTAGCTTTAGGTGTGGTGGTAGTAGGTGTGTGTGTGTAGATATGTAGCTTTAGGTATAGTGGTAGTAGGTGTATGTGTGTAGATATGTAGCTTTAGGTATGGTTGTAGTAGGAGTATGTGTGTAGATATGTAGCTTTAGGTATGGTGGTAGTAGGTGTATATGTGTAGATATGTAGCTTTAGGTATGGTTGTAGTACGTGTATGTGTGTAGATATGTAGCTTTAGGTATGGTGGTAGAAGGTGTGAGTGTGTAGATATGTAGCTTTTGGTATGGTTGTAGTGTGTGTCTGTGTAAATATGTAGCTTTAGGTATGGTTGTAGTAGGTGTGTGTGTAGATATGTAGCTTTAGGTATGGTGGTAGTAGGTGTGAGTGTGTAGATATGTAGCTTTAGGTATGGTGGTAGTAGGTGAATGTGTGGAGATATGTAGCTTTAGGTATGTTGGTAGTAGGTGTGAGTGTGTAGATATGTAGCTTTAAGTATGGTGGTAGTAGGTGTATGTGTGTAGATATGTAGCTTTATGTATGGTGGTAGTAGGTGAATGTGTGGAGATATGTAACTTTAGGTATGGTGGTAGTAGGAGTGTGTGTGTAGATATGTAGCTTTAGGTATAGTGGTAGTAGGTGTGTGTGTAGATATTTAACTTTAGGTATGGTTGTAGTAGGAGTGTGTGTGTAGATATGTAGCTTTAGGTATAGTGGTAGTAGGTGTGTGTGTAGATATGTAGCTTTAGGTATGGTTGTAGTAGGTGTATGTGTGTAGATATGTAGCTTTAGGTATGGTGGTAGTAGGAGTATGTGTGTAGATATGTAGCTTTAGGTATGGTGGTAGTAGGTGTGTGTGTAGATATGTAGCTTTAGGTATGTTGGTAGTAGGTGTATGTGTGTAGATATGTAGCTTTAGGTATGGTGGTAGTAGGTGTGTGTGTAGATATGTAGCTTTAGGTATGGTTGTAGTAGGTGTATATGTGTAGATATGTAGCTTTAGGTATGGTTGTAGTAGGTGTATGTGTGTAGATATGTACCTTAAGGTATGGTGGTAGTAGGAGTATGTGTGTAGATATGTAGCTTTAGGTATGGTGGTAGTAGGTGTGTGTGTAGATATGTAGCTTTAGGTATGTTGGTAGTAGGTGTATGTGTGTAGATATGTAGCTTTAGGTATGGTGGTAGTAGGTGTGTGTGTAGATATGTAGCTTTAGGTATGGTTGTAGTAGGTGTATATGTGTAGATATGTAGCTTTAGGTATGGTGGTAGTAGGTGTGTGTGTGTAGATATGTAGCTTTAGGTATGTTGGTAGTAGGTGTGTGTCTGTGTAGATATGTAGCTTTAGGTATGGTTGTAGTAGGTGTATGTGTGTAGATATGTAGCTTTAGGTATAGTGGTAGTAGGTGTGTGTGTGTAGATATGTAGCTTTAGGTATGGTGGTAGTAGGTGTATGTGTGTAGATATGTAGCTTTAGGTATGGTTGTAGTAGGTGTATGTGTGTAGATATGTAGCTTTAGGTATGGTGGTAGTAGGTGTGTGTGTGTAGATATGTAGCTTTAGGTATGGTGGTAGTAGGAGTATATGTGTAGATATGTAGCTTTAGGTATGGTGGTAGTAGGTGTATGTGTGTAGATATGTAGCTTTAGGTATGGTGGTAGTAGGAGTATGTGTGTAGATATGCAGCTTTAGGTATGGTGGTAGTAGGAGTATGTGTGTAGATATGTAGCTTTAGGTATGGTTGTAGTAGGAGTATGTGTGTAGATATGTAGCTTTAGGTATGGTGGTAGTAGGAGTATGTGTGTAGATATGTAGCTTTAGGTATGGTTGTAGTAGGAGTGTGTGTGTAGATATGTAGCTTTAGGTATGGTGGTAGTAGGTGTATGTGTGTAGATATGTAGCTTTAGGTATAGTGGTAGTAGGTGTGTGTGTGTAGATATGTAGCTTTAGGTATGGTGGTAGTAGGAGTGTGTGTGTAGATATGTAGCTTTAGGTATGGTGGTAGTAGGTGTATGTGTGTAGATATGTAGCTTTAGGTATGGTTGTAGTAGGAGTGTGTGTGTAGATATGTAGCTTTAGGTATAGTGGTAGTAGGTGTGTGTGTGTAGATATGTAGCTTTAGGTATGGTGGTAGTAGGTGTATGTGTGTAGATATGTAGCTTTAGGTATGGTGGTAGTAGGAGTGTGTGTGTAGATATGTAGCTTTAGGTATAGTGGTAGTAGGTGTGTGTGTGTAGATATGTAGCTTTAGGTATGGTGGTAGTAGGTGTATATGTGTAGATATGTAGCTTTAGGTATGGTGGTAGTAGGTGTATATGTGTAGATATGTAGCTTTAGGTATGGTGGTAGTAGGTGTATATGTGTAGATATGTAGCTTTAGGTATGGTGGTAGTAGGTTTGTGTGTGGAGATATGTAGCTTTAGGTATGGTGGTAGTAGGTTTGTGTGTGTACATATGTAGCTTTAGGTATGGTGGTAGTAGGTTTGTGTGTTGAGATATGTAGCTTTAGGTATGGTGGTTGTAGGTGTATATGTGTAGATATGAAGCTTTAGGTATAGTTGTAGTGGTAGAAGGTGTGAATGAATGAATTGGTGATCTTTATTTCCTCCATTAATTTCGGAGAGTGATATACATTTGGAATCATGTTAACACAGCACATTTACAAGAACGTCATACAGAGAAATTGGCAATACTGAATATTTACATGTCTTGGTCCTGGTATGAAATATACTGTCTATACACAGATCGTTGATCGCAGGTTGCAGTACCTTTTATCTCGTGATACAGAAGATATGAATTCAGCCCAGCTGTCAAGGCTCATATCCTCTACAAAAGGGGCAAACCACCTAGTAACGTCACAAGTTTTACTTCGTCATCTGCACAGCCTCAAAACATATGCATTGTTCGAGGTTTAAAGTGTCATATAGATGCTCATAGAGGGTGTTCCTTGCATCAGCTAAAGCCTTGGTATTTCCCGCTATACCGCCTGAAGAGCCACCCCGAACTGGGCCACATTGTTTGTACTGGATCTCCAGCGAACACATCCAGCAGAGGCTCTATTGGGCACAAGCTGGGGACTTAGCGGGCCTTCTCGCTGGAGATTATCGGTGACGACCTGGACACGATGTGGACTGTATTAGTAATCTTGCAGTTCAAAATGTCTGACGATAATTCTAGCGAATGGTACAAAGACAGGACGCACCGTTTCATCATTACTAGTATATCCCTGGCCAGTCATATGTTCATTCACAATAACCAAATCAGTTCGCCTGCCATGTGTGGAACCGCCCCACACCATGACACTACCGCCCCACACCATGACACTACCGCCCCACACCATGACACTACCGCCCCACACCATGACACTACCGCCCCACACCATGACACTACCGCCCCACACCATGACACTACCGCCCTACACCATGACACTACCGCCCCACACCATGACACTACCGCCCCACACCATGACACTACCGCCCCACACCATGACACTACCGCCCCAAACCATGACACTACCGCCCCACACCATGACACTACCGCCCCTTACTGATCATGGTCAACGGTAGATTTTGAAAGTCGCCTTTCTTTTATTGAATGGAATTCTCTGTTGATGACAGGAGCAGATGTGAATCAATTTCGTAGTGTAATGAGACGATCTTGTCTGGGTGTCCCTCCACACCCAGGTTTCATTAAAATCCATCCCTGTGACGGTACGTGTCCGACAGACGAGAAATTACCCTTTTTGATTTGCCAAACATTTGAGCAACCTGGGATATTGACCCCCCCCCCCGCTCCAATTCGCCATTTCGTTTGTTCTTTGAGATACTGCCTTTGGGGCATAAGTAATTGCCAGTTCCCCTTTAGGCGCCGACATTTTGGTTTCTTTGAGCAAGTGCAACACGTGCTATTTATGTATTGTATAAAATTACATTTTGATTAGATGTTGCGTTCAGATGCAACGCCACGGTATTGTAAACGTAGTTCCCTTACTTTTTGTCGGTATTATATAGTGACAGAAGTAGGTGTGTCTGTAGGCATGTAACTGTCGATATAATGGCAGTTGCAGGTTGTAGTAGTAAATATGTAGTGATGTAGTGGTAATAGTTGCAGTCGTAGGTGTGGCTCCAGAAAGAGTAGTAGCAGGTGTCGCTGTAGATCTAGGAGTAACAGGTGCTTTTGTAGCAGAGATTTATGTGAAGCGTTAATGTTAATGGACCACCACCCTCACAAAAAATGTATCCACCTTTGACACCATATTTTCTAGAAATATAGGGCTGTGCTGCGCTGCCCTCAGTGGGGTTCTTGGCTGAAGTCGCTGATGCGTGGCTGCCAACATGTAGCAAGTCACTTACGCTAAATTGTCAGATGCTGTTGAGAAAATGGTTGTATGTCGTGCAAGATGTGTTGTGTGATGAATCCATCGACCGGCTTCCACTTAGTAGTGCCATCAATCTCAGGGGCATTCATCAGAGTTACCATTGAGGGGATTGGAATAGTTACGAACACTTCAATCGTTATCCCTATTGATATACAGGGTGGTCGGGTAGCCTTGTGGTTAAAGCGTTCGCTCGTCACGCCGAAGACCCGGGTTCGATTCCCGACATGGGTACAATGTGTGACGCCCATTTCTGGTGTCCCCCGTCGTGATATTGCTCTAATATTGCTAAAAGCGGCGTAAAAACCGAACTCGCTGATTAACCTATTGATATCCCTATGACCACAAATGACTTTTCATGCCATGTTCCAAAGAACACAACTGCTCTATACTGCCCTATACCAAATGATTGGCGATGCACGTGTCCTTGAAAGGGTCACATTGAGCCATACCCACATGTTGAAGTCGTAAAGTACCATGTAATCTTGACAGTCGAATTCTCTTTCTACACGACACAAGAGTTATAGTGAGTTAATGAGTAAATTGGGATTTACGCTGCTTTTATCAGTATTTCGGATATATCTCGCCATGATACACATATTACACATGATTGTCAGTTGTAATGTGTCTTTATTGTGTCAGGTTCAGGGATTGTTCAAGGAAGTCATAGATTATTCTTCCGACCGACAGTTAAACTACATAATGTGTATTTAACGATATAAATATTCATTAAATATGACATTGTCCCGGAAAAGAATAAAGAACTATGAATCAGATGAATGATACTAAATCATGATCTTAACAAAGAAAGAATGGCATATATAGCCCTTCACATCTAATTCTTTCAGAAACTATTTAAAGTAGCGATTTACATATTCAGCGGATGCGCATAAGATTCTTCTCTAAAACAATAGTATGAGTTAAATTTCACCCTTGCATCAGCGAGGGGAATGTTCTGGCATATAATTAAATACTGGTGAACTTCCCGTGGACACCTACGTATAGGACCCGTTGGGCAGGATCGGCAGGTGAATAGGGTCTGCGTTGCCTTTGGGTAGGACAAATGGGGCAATAGTTACATTATTGTTGGTTGGTTGGTTGGTTTGTTGTTTTACGCCGCACTCAGCAATATTCCAGCTATATGACGGCGGTCTGTAAATAATCGAGTCTGGACCAGACAATCCAGTGATTAATATCATGAGCATCGATCCACGCAATTGGGATCGATGACATGCATCAACCAAGTCAGCGAGCCTGACCACCCGATCCCGTTAGTCGTCTTTTACGACAAGCATAGTCGCCTCTTACGGCAAGCGTGGGTTGCTGAAGACCTATTCTACCCCGGATCTTCACGGGTCAGTTGCATTATGCAAAGTATAGAATATTGATATTTAATACAAATTGATATAAAGACACACATAATAGTTCAGTACAAATAATAATTTGAATACATACCTCATTGTGAACATACATGGGACTGAAATATGAATATGATTTGTATCAGACATATTGGTGTGGTTTGGTATGAAACAGAAATATAACTAAGTTTTCATATGTGTCAGGAATATAGGAATGCATTCAAAGACGAGAATGAAGCAATCTGCCTTTGAGATTAGGGTAGGAAAACACACACACACACACACACACACACACACACACACACACACACACACACACACACACACACACACACACACACACACACAAACACAAACACAAACACAAACACACACACACAAACACAAACACAATCACGGGTTAATTTCAGCAATATTCCAGCAACATCACTGCAGGATCTCGAGCTACACGCTTTGCCGAGTGCGAAATTGGCACCTCCGGAAGCGCTCATTAAATCTCCAACACCGTCATCATTCACACTGTGCCCATTTGCGGACGAGAATCCGTCAACGTTTCCGCATATATTTATACTGCGATCTTTGTCCCTAGCTTTGCCTTGTTCCTTACAATGCTGGCTCACAGATGTCACATTGAAACAAAGAGTTATTACGGAACCATTTCTCTGCACGAATAATATGGAATTTAAAATGCAGCTCTTGTTTGCATGCATGTGTTTTGAGTTTGGGCGAGGAAATCAACCGATACGCTGCAGTTACAATCTCTTGGCCAGCAGTAAAACACACAGATGGCCTCTGGGTGACATTAGCTGGCATCTGTGTCACCGCTGACAGCTTCAAAGGCCGTATCTGTGACTATTAGATGTCTAGCTGTCAGATTACCTACAGACTGAGATGTTCAGTGGGCTGTCACCGGATGAGTATGTCATCCGAAGTCCAGCCAGGCCGGAAATGGGGGTCATTATCCTAAGAGGCTGAAACTGAAGCTGAAGCGTATCGGATGAGTGAGTGAGTTGGGTTTAACGCCGCTTTTAACATTATTCCAGTTATATCATGGCGTGTCAGCTTAATGTGGGAGGAAAGCCCGAAGTGATGCAGGTCTCAGACGTTTACCACTTTGGTGAAACCCACGAGCAAGGGCATGGTGCTGACAAACCTAGAAACATAATCGGGGCGAACCGGGATTCGAACCACAATCATAGGTTTTGCCGTGCCAAAGATACGCAACTCTGCACAGCGAATCGACTGGGCCACCATAGAAACACTGATTCGATTAGTAATAACTATGAATTTGTAGATATGTGGATATTCTCAGCCTGTTTGTTTGTTTTTGTTTGTTTGTTGTCCCGGGCGTATGGTTGCTCTTGTTTCGGTATATACTACCGGAAATAAGGTAACTGATGAAATGATAGGGAAGATGTAATTACGATTAATATCTGTTGTGTCCACAATATTGCAACTTGATGGCACACTGCTGATTATCTTTGTTTGTTAACGCCTCTCTCGGCAATAACCAAGCTATATGACGGCGTTTGTAAATAATGGAGTTTGGACCAGACAATCCAGTGATTAACATCATGAGCATCAATCTACTCAATTGGGATACGATGACACGAATCAACCAAGTCAGCGAGCCTGACCAACCAATCCAAATCAAATATTGATTCAGTATTTTGTTCTGGTCCAGAGTCTATTATTTCGATGTCGCAATAACATAGCTGTAAAACAAGTCTGGCGTAAAAAAAGGCTTGAGACTATATTATTAACTGTCTTTTGCAGCCATCAAAACGGGTCGATACACACACAAAAAGAGAACACAAGATATTTTAGAGATCCAGAAAATTCGAGATGGCACAGCATCAGAATATGAAGACACAGTGGTACCGGTCTCCACTCACCCGGCACCATGGCGACTATCGGGGGACGTCACGGAGACCGAGACCCTTATGACGACAATACTAGACGCGCACAAAAAATATGTGCAGTCCACATTGAATATATCCGAGGACACTCTCGAGAAAGATCAGCAAACATATTACGTAAGTAGAATCGCAAAAAATTGGTGCAAATAAATGTAAATTACGTTGTCATTTTTCGTCATACCACTATATCGTTCTATAGTCTCATGTTCTGTCAGCAAACCCGCGATTCCGCCATTTTGTCTCAAATATTTATTTTAATAATATAGCTCTTTTGTTCTGTTCGTTTGTTGTGTGACGCCGCAATACTCCAGCTATATGACGGCGGTCTGTAAATAATCGAGTCTGGACCAGACAATCTAGTGATTGACATCATAAGCATCGATCCACGCAATTGGGATACGATGACATGCATCAACCAAGTCAGCGAGCCTGACCACCCGATTTCGTTAGTCGCCCTTTGCTACAAGCATAGTCGCTTTTTTACGGCAAGCATGTATTCTACCCCGGATCTTCACTGATGTAGTAATATAGAATATGACTTATGCGATAATAATCATGGCCGTTCTTCCGTCTGTGTCTTATTTTGTCACTTCTGTGCCCAGCAAGAGCCTAGAAAAAAGATCAGCAATATTCTGGTAGTAAATAGAGTCATTGAGTGGGTTCAACTTCAGTCACATCAGCAGTTTTTCAGCCACATTGTGACCAGACCATTTACCAATTAAGAGCATACAAACGACAACGGACAGTACAACAGCGAGATTATCACAAAGGTTTATGTAACACTAGTATTAGATTATCAAAAATCCAAAGTCAAGGTCTTTCTGAGGAGAAAACGTTTGCGACGTACGACAGACGACAGGCGACGGAAACATACGATGACAAAAGCTCATTTAATTTCAGTCAGGTGAACTAAATATGTAAGATCTGGGGAACGGCACAAGGTGAATTATACGTTTTTTTCTAAAGATATTGCATTAAACATGTATTTGGTAATAAATCTGTCCAAAAATACAAGGAATAAAGCTTGAAAGGAGATAAAATGATATATACTGAGACGTGATGTGTGTAGAATAAAGTACTGGAAATACCATAAATCAGATTATGAAAACAAGCTAGCTTCATTTTTGACAACTGTATAAGCAGGGGGCTATTTGTGGATGATCAAAGAATTATCATCCATAAAACAGTTGGCTTCATTATGTTCTTATTTTGTTGTAAAGCTCTGCTGTACTTACTAAAATCCGATTGTTAAAGTACTGTCATATATTGTATATAAAACAGAGGTACAAATGAGATAAGTCATTAATTTAAAGAATAACTTGAATTGAAAGCACATGTACTGATGGAAAGAAAAAATGCAACGAAATAGTACCTCTGAGTCTATGACATTTATATCAAGCCTATTTTGTAAATATGAGTGAGTGAGTGAGTGAGTGAGTTGGGTTTAACGCCGCTTTTAACAGTATTCAAGTTATATCGCGGCGTGTCAGCTTAATGTGGGAGGAAAGCCCGAAGTGGTGCAGGTCTCAGACGTTTACCACTTCGGTGAAACCCACGAGCACGGGTATGGTGCTGACAAACCTAGAAACATAATCGGGGCGAATCTGGATTCGAACCCACAATCATAGGTTTCTGGCGTGCCCGAGGGACGCAACTCTGCACAGCGAATCGCTGCGCCTTAGACGACTGGGCCACCCGTGCCCCTTTTGTAAATATGAAGCATTTTACTGTACACATATTATAAATATGCAATATTTCCAAGCGTCTCCTAGTGTGGTGAAATCAGTATGTCATTGTATGGCAATATCAGTTCATATGAAATATTACGTTTCATTAGGGTGGTCGGGTAGCCTAGTGGTTAAAGCGTTCGCTCGTCACGCTGAAGACCCGGGTTCGATTCCCGTGATATTGCTGGAATATTGCTAAAAGCGGCGTAAAACAAAACCCACACTACGTTTCATTATGAATAGGTGAGTGAGTCGGCAAAATTCCAGCTTCCTTATTTCACATCTACATCCACAGGAGATATAAACCGTAGGGCAGCTCTGTATTTTCGTCCATAATTGTAGAAAACATCGATGCAAGATCTGGAGTTTTCTTTTTTTTTAAGTATCCCGCGTTGTCCCGCGTCTAAAATCAAGAGATACTGATATCATTGCCAATATAACGGCCGTATGTAAAGTAAGCTGTCGAGTTTTGGTCAGGTAAACCCGTGACTGAAAACACGAGAAGCCATCCAGGAGATCGGGACACGCTGACAAACACTCTGCCAAGTCTCAGAGCATGACCACCTGATCTTACGCCGATGAATTTAAATTGGAGACACAAAACCATGGTTTGTCTTTATTAATTGCCTTGAGACAATCGAACGTACGTTGTTATGACAACCATTGCAACTGTATGAAAGTGATTTATTGATGCAGATACCTTAACCTTTGCTGTTTGAATGATGGTTGTAGGAGCAATACAAGTTAAAGGTGGACATGTTTGGACCAATGACTACCTTGCCTCGTGAGCAGTACGATGAGATTTACCAGTCAACTGGGATAGATATCGATAACCGCCAGGATATGATGAGGGCTTTTGCTGCGTCCATGGAGGCAGGGATACGGCGGTATATCAGCTTCGTGAAGGCGGTTCCAGGGTTCACGGTATTATCTTCAGATGATCAGGCAAATCTCATTAAAGGCAAGTTTCACACGCGCATTGGTTCTGTCATAGCTAGTTTGTGAGTGAGTGAGTGAGTGGGTAAGTGAGTGAGTGAGTGAGTGAGTGGGTAAGTGAGTGAGTGAGTGAGTGAGTGAGTGAGTGGGTAAGTGAGTGAGTGAGTGAGTGAGTGAGTGGGTGTTTACCACAACAACAATGGCTATGGCAAGGATGTCATGTTACATATATTTCTCATCAGGTTTTAACCCTTAACCTAACCATTACCCTAACTCTAATTATATACTTTGTAAGGAGGCCATGGTTAAAACATGCTTAAAGATCGAAAGTACAAATCATGTTAGTCTCAAACGTAATTTTTTCTACCCCAGGACAGTTTGGTTCAATCACTTCGTTTACAACATCTCTCATATATTCTGCAGCCTAAATATTGTCTCTTATTTACTATGCTTATTTCGCTTATAAAGTATGGCTTCTTATGTAAGAGGGAGGGGGGAGTTTTGTCAGTTATCTCTCTTAACCATTCTGTGATACTTCTTTAAGGTTTCATGCAAATAGTTAGTGTAATTGTTCAGATGTCTTATTTATCTGCTGATTGTGTCAGTAACTGTTATACCGTATTCGGCGTAATAAGCGCCCAGGGCGCTCTTAAAATTAGAAATTGGGGGCTCTTATAAGAATTTTGGTGAAAAAAACCCGGAGTTGAAAGATTGTAAATTTCGTGGTTTATGCTGACAGCCTGAATGACACAAAAGAAAAGTCTGTGCGTAATATACACGACAAGCATATTTTTCCAGAATTGAATTGCCCGTAATTATGGGTGCATATAACACACGTGTGTGTATTATACACGAATAAATAAGTCTTGTGTACATTGATCGATCGGAAGAGGTGCCAATATGGATTGTTCACCAGCCAATATATTAGAAAATATCGCCGTGGGCACTTATTACGTCGAATACGGTATGTGACAAGAACTTTTGAGCTGGGATGATGATCAGTGGTATGAATGATCTTTGAACCTTTTCAAGTCTTTGAATGGCATTTACAAGTGATACACATAAGGAAGAGATTTATGGATGTCAACTTCTTTATTATGACGAAACACAACGTTTCGGAGTACATGCTTACTCCTTGATCAGGTGAATGAACTATATGCTTACTTACTTACTTTGGAGATTTAACGTGCGCTTTCCGACTGATGCGTATTTCGCACACGGGCCCGGCCAGGCCATTTAATGTGTTTCCGAAAGGGGCGAAAGTGGTGTGTGCAACCCAAGAGGGGGCTTTAGGGGTTGCTTATATAGAATTTGGGAATTTTGGGATTTGGAATAGATGCCGATGGGTTTGGGGAGGAGAACTAAGGGAGCTGGGTATGGTGGATGTTTGTTTGTTTATATAGGTTATTGTGTTTTTAGATGCGTTTTATTAGTTCTGTTTTGATTAAGAATACGAACTATATGAGGCAGAGAGCATATATATGTACATGTAAGGGCAACAAGAATAATAAGATAACAAAAGGTGGAAACTCACAAGGGAAGCCAACAGACGATTGCCGCCGATGAGTGATTAGCAACAGACAACAGAAGCCAACACTTAAAGTAAATAGCGCTGATGGTTATGGACAAATAGAAGGCAGCCCTCAAATTATCATTGATTAGTAATGGAAAATGAACAACGGGCAAACGGGAGGCCGGGGGTAATTAGCACTGATAGGTAAAGAATGGAAATAGCAATAAGGGAAAAGGAGGCAGATAATTAACACAAAGATCAAAGCAATAAGTCCCAAGCACAAGGCAGATAGGTGCCCTGGTCACGGTCGTCATAATAAAGAAGTTGACATCCATAAATTCTCTTCCTTTGAACCTTTTTGTTGCAACTATTCCAGAGAAATGCAGGTGATCTTCAGAATCTTTAATATGTACAATGTTGTGTGTAAAGAGTGAGTCGTGGATCGAAACGTTTGTCCAACATGTATTGAAGAAATGGACTATTTTCGCAGGCTATCCCAATAAGTTGACGGTTTTAAAAGCTGAAAATCGAAATTCGTCTGAATTGTCTCTCTGAGCTCTATTTAACTTAATATATTCTTTAACGCGATTGACTTACTTATCTATTTTGTTCTTATTTTAGGTGCGAGGTTCGAGTTTTTCTTTCTGGGCAGCTTCCGGGGCTACAACAGTAAACTGAAGGTGTTGAGTACATCGTCGGGCAAGTGCCTACATCTTCATGAAATATGTAAGATATGGGATGAAGACTTCATGCTTGAAGCTTTTAACTTTGCTGATTCGCTGAAAGTTCTGAAACTCAGTGTAGAAGAGTGCGTGGTGATCAAGACAATGTGTATTCTATTCACTGGTAAGTCCAGCACATGTTCTTTTTTTATTTCGTGTAAACAGTATTAAACTTTTCCATTATTATCATGGTGGAATGTGATTGGTGAAAATTAGATAGCCACGCGAAAAATCGCAAAGAACGAAGCGTGGTTTATTTCACGATAAAACATTGTTCTATCATGACGTCATTTCGAGATTCGAACATGCCTTCGCAACCTGATGACGTCGTTATCGCAACCTGATGACGACGTAATCGCAACCTTGATGACGACGTAATCGCAACCTGATGACGTCGTAATCGCAACCTGATGATGTCGTAAATTGGACGATGTTAGTTTTGATGGGTTGTTCCCCATCGATGTAGCTGGACAAATTAGATAAACGCAATGGTCCAAAAGTGGGAGAGATAGACACTCGGTATTTTGAGATAAGGTACAGACAATCAGCGACTATGTAATTTATTTATGGTCGCTGAGATAATCGACGTGAAAATTGTGACAATATCCGGAAAATACCAAACTTATCCCCCCTATTCATAAAATAGACTTTCCGACATTGCTGAGGTCGGATTGTATTTAGGGAGTATCATTATTTGAATACGGGTAAATATCTTTAAAGTTGTATTATTTATTAACATCCTTATTGAGGCTGGACATAATGTTGATATCTAATATGGTCGTTGTTTATCGTACAATAAAACACTGAAGAGGGAATAAGCAGCTCCAATTTGTCGTTCATTTCTTAATGAAGCATGTCACTCTGGCATGACAAATACCGCAGGGTATATACGCCTGGAATACCTAATTACCGTTGAACTACCCAGATGTGCAACAGTGCCGTTGCACTATTTTAGCACATCTTGATATTGTTAGGGGAGGTGGGGTAGCCTAGTGGTTAAAGCGTTCGCTCGTCACGCCGAAAACCCGGGTTCGATTCCCCACATGGGTACAATGTGTGAAACTCAATTCTTGTGTCCCCCGCCGTGATATTGCTGGAAATTTGCTAAAAGCGGCTTAAACCCATACTCACTCACTGATAGTGTTAACGTGAGCTAATGTGTCAGCCCTGAAACACAAATCTCCTTCTCCAAATCTACTAAACATATCAGTGTCATTTTCACAAGCTCCGCGTACCCCTAGCTACAATAAAGTCAAACAGTACAAAGAGGCCGCCACAGCGGCTCATATAAGATATAAAAAAACATTGTTTTCACAAGATTTGTCTTTATAACGAAATTAAGTTTCAATTTTGAAAAAAGTTTTATTATGTTGTCAAGGCATTTGCTGGAGAGAGGATGTTAGTAACCAGTTGAAAATCCAAATTTGTTTCGTATATGCTTACTGTACTTGCCAGAATTTACCTCCACTTGAGCAACCCTATATATTTTTAAGTATTTATTTGGGGGGCATATGGTGGGTTTTTTGTGATAGGATATGCAAAGGATAACTAGGGACACCCACCCTCCCCTCAAAGCCAACTGTTCAATAATCTTGATTGGCTTTTGTGAAAGTGTCAGGTTACACTAGTTCAAAAGGCAATTGGGGCGGTGGAGTAGCCTGGTCCTGAAAGCGTTCACTAGACACGCCGAAGACCCGGGTTCGATACAATGTGTGAAGCCCATTTCTGGTGACCACCGCCGTCATATTGCGGCGTAAAACTATTCTCACTCACTCACTAAACTCGACAATCTCATATTCATTAATTTTATTGAAATGAATTACTATATTCAGTAAACTACGGTTATAACGAACTCAAAGGGACCTCTTATATTAGTTCGTAATAACCGTAGTTCGTTATAAATATATATATACAGCATATATACAACAAATGGCAGGGACTTAATAATAAGTTCGTTATATCGGTCAGCTCGCTGCAAGCGTGTTCGTTATAAACGTAGTTTACTGTACTTCATTTACCTTTTACCCCACCCTTATAAGAAACAAAGTAAGGTAAATCAAAATATGTGGAAAGCTGATGAGGAAGTCATTTTGAAAAACTATTTGTCTAAATACCACCAGTATCCAATCTCATTAAAATCAGATCCAAGTTCTCGCTATCGCTAAACAAAGATCTAAGGACATCCCATAACGGGTCACGTCAGACCGACCTTTCGCGAACCCTGACCGACCAATGGAATGACTGACAAGAAGTCGACATTAGCCAATCAGAAGGCAGCTTTCTCGTGTTTTACGACATATTTTCAATTTGGCGACAACGCTTCGAAACATATTTTGACAAATTCTCGCTTACAAATTTGAAACCTGAACAAAAGAACAGCGAGAACTGAGATCTGATTTTAATGAGATTGCACCAGTATCTGGCATCACTGTCAATAAGAAAACAACAGCTCTTGGTGTCTGTTCACATGAAGTTACTGGATTCACAAATTACTATGGAATGGTGACTGTGGAATATGACTTGGTAGTTTGTATTCTTTTGTCAGCGCCGCCAACAAACTCATTCAACATCAATATTTCGCAAATTGTTCTGAGAAGAATTATTAAAATATAATTTCTCCAAATACCGAGTATAATATATTTTATGCAAAACATTCAGCACATCCTCGCCCTTTAATGTTATATCAATGAATAAAGGTGGGTTTCTGCATCGTGAATTGAAACAATCAGTTTGTTTGTTGTACAAACAAAGATGACAAACAAACCAGATGACGTCACTATTGAGCGTGACGTCACCTTTCCTAACCCTATAACGTCACTTAACAACCGGCGTGATAACGGCCCGTCGTCAAGCGATATGAGGGCATTATCAAGTTACAGTGGCCCGCTCATCTCTGGGTAAATTCTATCCATTTTAGCTATAATAACTACAAACAAAGCTATATGACGGCGGTCTGTAAATAATCAAGTCTGGACCAGACAATCCAGTGATTGATATCATGAGCATCGACCGACGCAATTGGGATACGATGACATGCATCAACCAAGTAAGCGAGCCCCATCACCCGATCCCGTTCGTCGCCTCTTAGGACAAGCATAGTCGGCTTTTACGAAAAGCAGGGGTTGCTGAAGACGTGTTCCAAACCAGTAATAACACCAGTTGATTTCAAAAGTATAACGTTTGTTATGTATTTCATTCTGTAATGTTTCATTACGACAAGAATGCTCAGGAATTCACAGGGATTGTTATGAACGTACGTACATTGTACGTTCTCTTCATGTAAAGGGGCGGTCGGGTAGCCTAGTGATTAAAGCGTTTGCTCGTAACGCCGAAGACCCGAGTTCGGTTCCTGACATGGGTACAATTCGTGAAGCCCATTTCTGATGTCCCCCGCCGTGATATTGCTGGAATATTGCTAAAAGCGGCGTAAAACCATACTCACTCACTCATCATGTAAATATTTTCAATTGCAGATCGATGTGACCTAGCACAGCCTGACAAGGTGGAGGAAATCCAATGGAAAGTCATCAAATGTCTGATACTCCTTCTCCAGAAACACCATTCGAAACCGATGATAAGATTCGCCAAGATCATAGATCGTCTCACAGCCGTCAGAAACCTTACAGAGTGGAACAACAAAATAGCTAAAAGTTTGTACTTGTGGCCCGCCGTGCAACAGAGTCCCCTGTTACTGGACATGTTAGCAACGTAACGCTAATTCGTTAGCAGTGACGTTAATACGTTTCTACAAAGGCCTACTTCAGTGACAGTGAAGCGAAGAAGGTGTCTTTTGTGGAAAATTGTGAAGTGATTCATTACGAAGTTGAATATATCGTCTTCGCATCGGACGTGTGTGACTATAAAGACAATATATATGTGCAGACGATTCGTTAGGTTTTAACATTAAGATATTCCGGAACGGAACAATGGATCCCTTCAGTGGCTTCAATCACAATAAAAATAACAATACTGTAATTCAGGCGAACCCTTTTCGCGAAAACCAGTGTCATCACTGATTTTCAATCATCCATTCATATAATTTTCCCCGCTATTTTGTCTTTTACGGGTGCCTGTTTCGGCAGATAATTAACACTGATTATTTTCTATATTCTGGTATTTATTATAGCTAAAATGGATAGAATTTACCCAGAGATGAGCGGACCACTGTAACTTGATAATGCCCTCATATTGCTTGACGACGGGCCGATATCACGCCGGTTGTTAAGTGACGTTATAGGGTTAGGAAAGGTGACGTCACGCTCAATAGTGACGTCATCTGGTTTGTTTTATGACGATTCCATTTTTGTAAAAGTGGGTCAGTGAAATTCGTGTTGTTTGCACAAAATGTTTCAAAACCGATACTGTTTATTTTATGTGATAACAAATTCTATCCATTTTAGCTATAATAACGGCAACGCTATTTTTCAGAGCATTATCATTTGCAGAAGCCCTCGGTCTTTTCAACTACCCTCCTTCGTCGGGCAGATGGGAGACCTCAGGCTTCTGCAAATGATAATGCCCTGAAAAATAGCGTTCCCCTTATAATGTATAACGATCAACCCAGTAGTTATATTTCATATGTTATGTGTATTATATGATCATCTGCTCATTTCTCCAGGTTAGGAGATATTTCCTGTGATTTATTGTTTGTTTAGGAAAAAGGAATAATATTGGTTTTCAGGGAGCACGACAGACATGTGTAAGTAGATTGGTAAAACAGGGAATTTCTTTTAAAATATGTAAGTTTTGTTGAGCTACATTTCTTGACGAATAGGTACAGAATCTGAGTCGCAAGTTTAATGATAGCAATGTAAGGTTACTGGAAACAATGTTTTCATGAGTGTTTCTTACCAGATATTGCCTTGGTATAATCCATTAGGTCTGATGTTACTGTTATTGCTAGAATAGTCGTCTAAGGCGCCGCGATTAGCTGTGCAGAGTTGCGTCCCTTTGCAAGAAACCTATGATTGTGGGTTCGAATCCCGGTTCGCCCCGATAATGTTTCTAGATGTGTCAGCACCATGCCCGTGCTCGTGGGTCTCACCGAAGTGGTAAACGTCTGAGACCTGAATCACTTCGGGCTTTCCTCCCACATTAAGCCGACACGCCGTGATATAACTGGAATATTGTCAAAAGTGGCGTTAAACTCAACTCACTCACTCATGGTTCATGTCATTTTAAGTGCTATCCACAACGGTAAATTCATCATTTATAGGATTTGATGCTGCTTGACGAAGTATTTCAAATCCAACTTTGGGTGTCACCTCACTGTGGTGGGACATTCTTTAAACAATCATCGCGTGTAGTAGCTGGTTTTCGCCGCTTTGAAAGTCAAGTGTAAGGTCCGGAGAAACCAAAGCCATTGCCAGGGAGGATGATGGACTCGAACCCAGGATCATCCGATACTTGTACGGCTTCGAAAAGAAAACATGGCGTATTAAATCCATGAGACCGGTGGAAGCCAGAGGATTATTGTATTTGAGAGTATAAAACGTTACAATAGCTTGAATCGCAGGACATATTATTCCTCTGAATGGCATCTTCCCGAGGCGAGAGACTTTAAAGGTCCAGTTTCCACCTTGCAGAACTAGGCTTGAATGACTGGGCTCGATCGTAGCGCCACCAGTGGCTATTACTTCTAAGCCTCTCCTGTGGACCGACCGCCTCCGTGGTCTTGTGGAATAGCGTCCGCCCGGAGAGCGGAAGGTCCGGGGTTCGATCCCTGGCAGCGTCATACCAAAAGACGTTAAAAGATGGTACTTGTTGTTACCCTGTCTGGCGCTCGGCATTAAGGGGCTTAAACAAGGACTGGTCGGCTCGGAGTCAGTATACTGTGTCTGAGTGGGGTATTCATTTTAAACTGCGGCATGGTATCTCAGTGAGCTAGCACTATAAATCGGCATCAGTCCGGACTAGTACAAGCAGCCACACAAACACACACACGTACATGCACGTCGCTATATAAGTGCAATAATCTTGGACGCGACGTTAAACCCCATTTCACCTCACCTCACCGCCTATGGACCAGTCAGATTCCACCTCTCGTATCACTTGCGTTTGCTCCACACAAAATGGTGGCGCCCGTTCAGGACGATCTGATCGATAATCAATATCTATATTGTGAAAAAACGTGTCTTACATCGCGAAATGCATCAAATCACGTGAGCACCTTGATTAAAAACATGAAAAATTTGGAAAATATTTGCTGACAACGAGTTGGCGGTGCACATGCTTTGCAAATCCTGCAATCGACCGAAATCTGAACGACAGTTAACGAACCGGATTTCGATTTCGGTGCGCGATTTTGATTGGACTATGCATAGACTCGTTAGTCCAGCCAAAATGTAACTCCATAATACCAGCCTAGTTCGGCAAGGGTTGAAACTGGACTTTCATAGTCAGTTAACTCTCTTGCCTCGGGAAGTTGCTGAATGGAGGAACCAAAGAACTTTCAAGAACATCCAGCATGTCAGTGAATTTCTTTCAATTTAATTTCAATTTAATTTTAAAACCTACTGACTGATTATCTGTTATGCTTTTTATGTTAACAGAATGTTTAAAAAAATCAAGCCCCAAACCCCCGCCCCCCTCCTGATATGACTGGCCTCAAGGGTAAATAGTCAATTGGTCAAGTCCTGAAATCGGTCAAGACTAACCAAGTCATCTAGTGATTATATACGAGTACCTTATCACTTGTGTTGGTTCTGAAAATGCAAATATACCATATCGAGTGCCTTATGAGTGGAACAGTTTGAAACGTAACCTTGGTCAAACGGACACCTGATTCTTTGCATATACAATCTAATATAAGCAATAATTGTGATGAAATGAACTTTGCGCGTATGCGTGTGTGTTAGTGTGTGTGCGTGCGTGCGTGCTCGTGTGTAAGCTATTTGATGAATTGGTGGCAATCAGATAGACAGTAAATCATACCGATCCATCTAAAGAATATCAATATTTATATATTCATAGAAGGGAAATATTATTATTAATCAACTGACAATTCTCAATTGTGATTACTTATTAAATTGAGAGAATAAAACATGTGTTTGTTGTCAAAAGCGAATTCTGAGGACCATTTCCCTCATTTGAGGAATGATGTTTGCGCCTTAAGCTACTGAAAGTCCACTATTATATGTCGGAACAGCTTTTTGTAAATGAAACTGATCAACTGAACAAGTGCGAGTAAGTGAGTGAACGTTGTTTTATGACACACCCAGAAATATTACAGACAGACAGACAGACAGACACACAGTTTATTCAGTATGCAAGGTCATATGGCCCATAGTACAGTTCAGTTTTAATAGACACATACAAAATCAACGTGATCTTGAACATAGTATAATATATTCACCTGAGTCTTAATACATGTTTCAAATACATTGCTAAAGATTTAATAACTTCCTCATTGGTCGAATTCAACAAATTGATTATCAATTGATTGTCTTTGTGTGTAAGATCTAAATTAGGTAGAAACTTTAATCTCAACGTTTTATAATTTACTCCAGCTATATGACCATGGTCTGTAAATAACTGAGCCTGGGCCAGACAATGCAGTGATTGACATCATGATCAATTGGGATACGATGACATGCACGAACCAAGTCAGACTACCCGATCCCGTTAGTCGCCTGTGTTGACAAGCATAGTCGCCTTTTACGGCAAGCATGGGTTTCTGAAGACATATTCCATCCCGGATCTTCACGGGGCCGCACTCAGCAATATTCCAGCTATGTGATGAATAAATAATCTGTAAATAATCGAGACTGGACCGGACAATCCAGTGATTGACATCATTAGCATCGATTCACGCAATTTGGATACGATATGACATGTATCAACCAAGTCAACTAGTCTGACCATCCGCTCCCGTTTGTCGCCTCTTACGACAAGCAGAACGCCTTATTCTGAGCCTATTATTATTCTAATGCCCCCAGATGTGCTACCCTGTGTGTGCAGAGTACCGGAGTAATATGTGACACACCGGATTTATGCTGGGAATTGATAAACTGTATTAATTTTCTTTTCGCCAATGGAAAAGCGTGTTTTTTGTGTGTTTTTGGAAGTTTAAACCATAGTAGAACAGCCGTAGTCAAGTGTGTTTTAATGTTGATTGTAATGAAAATTGTATACCGTACCGCAAGACAAATCATTTACTTTCAAAAGGTGATAGTGAGCTTTTGTAAAAAACAGATTCAATAACACGAATGTACAAGTACGTCATCAAGTATCTCCAAGTTAAATCCAACAGCAATCCATTCGGCCATGGTCTCGCCTTAGCGGAAGATCCTCCTTGCTTTAAAACTGTTCAGAGGAAGGCAGCGGAGTTCAGAAGGGAAAGAGAGAGCCTCGAACATGATCCAAGATCAGGATACCTTCAACAACCACAACTTCGGGAAGGTGATAAACACATGATATGATTATGAATGATCTATGACTCGCCACATGTCACACAACCAGCACAGAAGGCACCTCGCATGCGTGGAGAGCATTCCGAGAAAATGGGCATGACAAGATTATAGCACAATGTGTTCTAAGGTTTTTTGACGATTGATCAGAAATGACCAAGGTTGATCATCTCCCATGAAATATACATCGTTTTAAAGTAGACCCAGCTGATTTTGTTGCGCAAGTAATTAAGTATGGATGGGTCTTGGTTTCATGGTCTGGCTTTCACCACTATCAGCCAGAGAACAGTCAACGCAGTGGAAACATCTCACCTTTCCTCATCCGAAGCAGGCAAAGTCTGTTCATCAGCTGGCAAGGTGATGGGATTCCAAAGATGGTGGACTACATTCCGAAACGTCCAGCCAATGGTTAATATTATGCTTATCTGATAAGGCAACTGCATGAGAATGTCAATGCTAAATGTCATGGAAAACTCATTAGTGGTATGTTGTTCCACCAAGACAATGCACCTGTGCAATATGCTTCAGCCAATGACTGTGTCTTTGAAACCATTGAACATCACCCGTATGTATGTAATAAAAACGTACAACTTTATGTGTAACAACTCCTGGGTTATTGTCTGTAGCGACGTTTCGATGTAGATTCTTACACCGTCATCAAGCTGAAGTGACTACATCCACTTACTTACTTACTTACTTACTTTGGAGATTTAACGTGCGCTTTCCGACTGATGCGTATTTCGCACACGGGCCCGGCCAGGCCATTTAATGTATTTCCCAAAGGGGCAAAAGTGGTGTGTGCAACCCAAGAGGGGGTTTAGGGGCTGCTTATATAGAATTTGGGAATTTTGAGATTTGGAATAGATGCCGATGGGGTTGGGGAAGAGAACTAAGGGAGCTGGGTATGGTGGATGTTTGTTTGTTTAAGTGATTTTGATTTGGTAGGTTGTTGTGTTTTTAGATGCGTTTTATTGGTT